TCTTTTCATAAATATTATTTTAACTCCAAAGCAGTTTTTAGCTGTTAAATTATACTCCTTCTGGTGTTATTGTCGATAGTTTATTCAAGCTTAAATTAAGATCTAAATGAGCCCAAAACAACAACTTGACGGAATCTAATGCGAAAGCTTCCTTAATTGTTAATGATAATGTGAAAATTGCTTACTTCAGTGAATCAAAATGACGGAACAATTTTTATCACAAAAAACATATAGAAAAAATCAAAATTTTACGATCGAATCAGTAAACAAAAAATACCATAAAATCTCCAATAAGATAAGACACCCAAAGCTTAGCTAAGTGATTTTCCACAAAGCTACATCATATATAAACATGAATTTAATATGCATAATTGAGAATAGAGAACAGTATTTAGAAATCGAGAGATAAAATAATATTTTAAGAGAGAAAATAATATTTTTTTGTTAGAAAAAATGATGATAATCATGGAGCTCTTTTTTGGAGCTTGCAAAGAAAATAACATTATTATATTTTGTTAGTATGTGGGATCCACTGTTAAATATAACACCTTCTTTTGTAATTTTAGTTAGATTTAGGGTAAAAAACTAAAGTGAACACTCTTTGTAATACATTAAGGACCATTTCAATCATGTGTGATACATTAAGGACCAAAATAAAGCAACACATATACATTAAGGACCATTTTGATCATCCTCCTTATCAAACACACCCTTAACCATACTAGTTTTTAGTAAGTGTAAATTTCATATATGACATATATTATAGTACTATTTTCAAATTATAGCAGTAGATTTAGACTTTCAAGCTATAGCATTAAAAATTTCAAGTTATACCAAATTCAAAAAAGAAGAAATGTTTTTATTAATTGGAAAAAACTTAAAAAATAACTAAAAAGATAAACGAAATTTTTTAAAAAAATCGGAATTAGAAATAATAAAGTAAAAAACTGAAATTGTGGCCTGTAATTTAATTTGAACTTATTGTAGATAATTAATGATTAGCATGAAATAAGGGATCCAAACAAATTAACAATATTTTTTATCCTTAATTCACTCAAAATCAGTTAAAATAAAATAAAAAATCAGATCATATCCTTTTTTTCTTCAACGTTTCTCTCTCTTAATTCTTCAAAGTAAAAATTTACTAGAATCGAGTAATTGAAGGTTTTTTTCATTGAAAAAATTGATTTTATTGAGATGGACAATTACGTATCAATTCTAATTAAACATGGTGAAAGATGGGATCCTTCGGGTTAGTATTTATTATTGTTTAGTGTTTGTTTTTAAATTACATTGAAATGAAAAAAATAATTATTAAACTGTAAATCGTCTCTATGTTTAAGATGATATCATTACTTGTTAACTGTTGTGAAATGTATAATATTAGTGATTTTATGTTTTTGTGATTGTTTTGTGTATTTTTTTTCTTAAAGTATAAAGTAATTGTATATTTATGAATGAATTTAATAGAATTATCGGAAAGAAATTTGTAAGAAAATGTGTTTCGTAAGAAGTAAAAAAAGTTACTTGGATTTTTGACGAATTGTATAACAAGTGTTTTAAGTTGGTATTAAATTATAAATTTTAGTGTGTTATATTAGATGTTGTCATTTCTGAAGTAATTAGTGAGTTAGAAATGAATTATTTGGTACGATAAGATATAGATATTTGTAATGTATGATTATTTGTTGTATGAAATGTGTATTAAGTGAATTTGAAAGTTGTTATGAAATAAGTTGTCTTAATGATATATGTATGAAATGTATATTAAGAAAGTATGAAATTTGTATGAAAGCGTGTCCAGTAATCTGAATTATTTTTTTTTTGAATTTTTGATGAATTGTATGATAATGGTTTTAAGGTTGTATTAATTTTGAAATTTTATTGTTGACATTTTTGTATAAATTTGTGTGACATTAATGAAGTATTTTCGTAAAAAAATGTACATATTTGTTGTATGAAATTTGTATTAAAATAATCATCAACTGTTGATATGCATGTTGTTGTTGATGGACCAAAGGAAGTACATAGTAAACTTAAACACCAAGATGTGTAGTTGCGGAAGATTTCAAAATGATGAGATACCATGTGGGCATGGAATGACAGTTCTTAGATACAAAAGACTGCATGAAACATAATTCTGCTCTCCTTTTTATAGCCTGAAGAATTTTCAAGATGCATATGTCATTCATGTTGAACCTATTCCTTGCGAGAGTACATGGGATATACCAAGTTATATTTCAGAGCCTAAATTGATGTCATCTGGTCCAAAGAGACCGGTAGGAAGACCACAACTTGAACGATGGAAGGGGTTTGCTGATGTGAAAATTCAAAAGGTCAAAAGTTACCTGTAGTAGATGTCGTCAAGTTGGACATAACAGGAAGACATGGTCAAATTATCCTATGCAAAACTAATGAATGTTCATTTGTTAAGACTATATATAATTTTTATTTTTGTTTGTTGGTTATATTAAAGTTTTGGTTTGATATAAAACATAATAATTTTGTGTTTAGCGTACTGGTTATTATTTATACATTGTTCATTCAGTTATCATACAAAATGCATATTGTTATAAATTTAGTGCTTGGAACAATTTTTAGTAACAACTATATGAATTTTGTGTACTTAATGAATGAATCGTGTATAAATTAAGACAAATGTGAAAACACAATTCATAACATTTGTATATAAAAATCATACCACGATTAAATACAATGTCCAAACATTTAATATGCATTCTATATGATTACTGAATGAACAGTGTATGAGTGTGTTTCTATATGATTACTCATTAGTTGACACGTGTATGAAATCTATTACTATGACTTTAATATTAAATGTTTGGACATTGTATTTAATCGTGGTATGATTTTTATATACAAATGTTATGAATTGTGTTTTCACATTTGCCTTAATTTATACACGATTCATTCATTAAGTACACAAAATTCATACAGTTGTTACTAAATTATTCCAGATTAAGTATATTGTATATATTAGTAATAATTATAAAAAGTTAATTATGTAATTCATTCCAACACTAGTTTAAGGGTTGGTCATACATATATTAATCATATTTAATTCATGAGAAAATAAGACAAATGTGAAAACACAATTCATAACATTTGTATATAAAAATCATACCACGATTAAATGCAATGTCCAAACATTTAATATTAAAGTCATAGTAATAGATTTCATACATGTGTCAACTAATGAGTAATCATATAGAAACACACTCATACACTGTTCATTCAGTAATCATATATAATGCATAATGATACAAATTTATTGTTAGATGTAGTATTTATTATTTATACACTATTCATTCATTAATGACACAACTTGCATATCGTTAATGATAAAATTTGTTCCATATTAAAGATATTGTATATATTAGTGACTAATTTAAGTTGTTGTTGGACATATATAAATCATATTTAATTCAAACGAAAATAAGACAAAATACAACTATAAAAATTATACCATGACTAAATACAAATATTCAACATTTAATATTAAAGTCATAGACATATGCATATAAAATGTATTTCATACACGTTTCATCCATTCGTTATACAAATTAAAAACACAGTGCTACTTTAAAAAATAATGTATCAGAACTGTATGAAGTCTGTATAATGTTTTTGTCCTGAACTTATAATATCTAAACATTATAGGTTAGTGCATGCCAGTCACCATGTGTATAATTAAAAACACAGTGTTACAATTTTTAGAACATTCAAAAGAGAATCAAAAGGTGCAATCAACTATTTTGATAACATATTGTAGTATATATCATTAAATACTTAAACAAAAAAGAATTATCCAAAAGTTAAACAAAAAAAATTATCCAAAAGTTAAAAAATATAATATGTAATTCTTAAAAAGTAGAAGATGCAATCAACTATTTCAACTTTCTAGTTGGTGGTATTGATGTAGGATAATTGGTGGTATCCGGAACGTGTTCTTTTGCTATCCGAGGTCCACCAAATTTGCTAGCAATCGTACCAGTAACTTCACTTTCGTTGATCGCACCAACATCATCAATTGAAATTCCGTCAAATCTGAGGCTCTTTCGTGGAGTTTCAATTTGTTTCTTAGACATGATGATGAATAATCGTGGGTAAGATGGGTAATCAATTTTGATGTTGGACTAGATGAGAAAGAATGGAGAAAGTTTGATAGTGGGTTGTGGGTTGAGTCGTGTGGGATGGTGGTGTGATCGATGATTGGGGATGGTAACGGTAAACAAGGAAAGGAAATCCCTAAAATTGGGTAACTGAAATTTTTATTTTTTTTAAAAAGGAAGTAAATTAATTATCTATTATTAATTAATAATAAAAAACTATAAATAGATAAATAATTTATTAAATAAATATAATTTAATTTAAAATTAAATTAAATTTAACTGATATGTCATAGGCCGTAAATAATCAGCAAGAAATTTTTAAAAGTAGGTTTAAAACCCGTAATATTTACTCTTAAATGTGTATATGGGGTGATTTTTCCAAAAATTTCAACAGAATTGTGCTCTTTAGTGCTTATAACATTACTTTATAATTTATATAGGTTCAGAAAAAGAATAAAACTAAACTACTACTCTGCTAGTATTATAGTAAGAAAAAAAAAAGTTTTTCCTATAAATAATTGGTAGATTTTGTTGACATCAATTTATTCCCACCATGAATAATTAATAAATATCAATCAATGTGTCATTTGATTGACACATCTCTCAAATCTCAGTTTCTACTTTTTGTATTTTGCAAAAGCAACTTGAAGCAAATATTTTCTGAAAAAGGTACAAAATTGAGGTAGCAAGTTCACCTAAGCTGGTACTGGTAGACAAATCCATTAAAAAACGCCAATATAAAACAACTCAAATTTCTTTTATACAAAGGCAAAAGAGGAAGGTAAGCATAAAACTTCTCAAGTAAAGAACCAGAGTACAAGGAGTTACATCTCACAGCTAAATTTTTGAACAAATTCAGTAAATCTGTAGATATTGCAACAGTTAAAGGCCAGCTATATTGACAATAGTTTCATTATAAAGCTTTCTATCAGAAAGCTAAGCTATTCGCATTCTCATGCATAAGCAGCATATTATAGGACCCAATGAAATTTCTATCTATACAAAAAATCCAAATGCAAACACACCAAAAGGGGGAACGAGGGCAGAAGGAGTATCACAATGAAAATGGCTTCGCATACACATCGAATGGCTGGCAAGCTGTTAACTGGGGCTCCTGAAAAGAGTGCAGGGCAAATGTCAAGAACTACACTTACATTCTGTAACTCAAGGAAAATTATGATAGAATAATGACTTTACACCCGTACGAGTAAGTTTGATAATGGTCATAATTTCAAAAGAAGAAAGCTGATAAACACAAAACATGTCAAGTCTTTCAGAGCATAGCTAGTGCATTTATGCTCTTGCTAACCACGAGCTGCAAATGGAGTTGATGCTTCGATCAATGCCAATTTTTTTTTTAAAATGTAGGTGAAATACACAAGGGTACTACAATAAACTCCCAAAATCACCCAAAAGGAAGAACAAGATTGAATCAAGCCTCAGATCACTTAAGTAATTGTGAAGCACCAAAAATTGAAGTTTGAAAGCCTCAAGTGAGCCAAGAATTTTTTCAGTTCAAAATAGATTTGAATTATTCAAATATATGATATTGTTGACATTCTACTTAATGGTAAAATGAAATCACTAGATAACTAGAACTTCAGAAATAAAAGTGTGTGCAAAGCCAATTTTTTTAATTCAAAATGTATGAAATTATTTTCAACATTTCACATAGATGATGAGAATTTTAAAAAATATTACATTAACCTTATATATTTCCTAAAACATTGCATACATGTTTATATATAAATTTTATTGTATAAATTTAAACCACTTATCAGAGATAGGATTCAGAATCTAAACACTGCTTCTTCAAGAGCATTTTTTTCTTTATCAACAGGTTGTGCTGAGATCTAGACCTTTTAAATTCTTAAATCACCTAGCAAAACATGTACAGTGCCAGGACATTGTGAAGCATGCATGGCAGGATAATCAAAGAGGAAATGGTATGGGGAGAGTGTGGCAGAAATTAAAGAGGGTGAAGAAAGCACTAAAGACTCTCAATACAACTGAATTTCAGGGAGTGGAAGCTAGAATCAAGTTGTACAGACAACAGTTGCAGGATGTACAGAGCTCTATGAGGCAACCAGGCCAGCCTACAAGCTTGATTGAAACAGAAAGGGAGGCGAAACTAAACCGAGAGAAATGGCTAAATGTAGAAGAAAGCATCATGAGACAGAAGTCAAGGGTGAAATGGTTGAAACTGGGAGATGGTAATACAGCTTACTTCCATGTTAGTCTAAAAAATAGGCTAGCTCAGAATAGAATCACCAACTTGACCAGTGCAAATGGAAATATAATGACAAGCAGCAGTGATATAGAGGAGGAGATACTTGGTTTTTACAAAAAATTATTGGGGACTTGTGCAAACCAATTACCAGCAGTAAATCACCAAGCAATGAGAGATGGACCTAGATTGGATAGAGGGAAACAAGCACGTCTGATAGTGTCTGTCTCAAGAGATGAAATACTACAGGCTCTACAGGGAATAAATGACAATAAAGCACCAGGGTCTGATGCTTTTAATGCCATCTTTTTCAAGACAGTGTGGGCAACTGTAGGAGAAGAGATCACTGATGCAACCCAGGAGTTTTTCTTATCAGGGAAGCTACTTAAAGCCATAAACTGCACCACTGACACTAATCCCTAAAATAGACCATCCATCAAATATTTCAGAGTATAGACCTACCTCATGTTGTACTGTGGTGTACAAAATTATTTCAAAAGTGCTCACTAATAGAATGCAGAGTGTGATGAATAGTCTAGTAGATAAGGAGCAGTCTGCTTTTGTGCCAGGTAGGCTGATAAATGACAAACATTATCTTGAGCACTGAACTGGTCAAGGGCTATGAGAGGAAAGGGGTATCCCCTAGATGCATGCTGAAAGTTGATATGAGGAAAGCCTATGATTCAGTGAAGATAGATTCCCAGTATGTTTGTGGACTGGATTTTCCAATGCATAAGCACAATGTCTTATGACTGTCTTGATTAATGGCTTCCCCAGCACTCCCTTTGAGGCAAAGAAGGGGCTAAGACAAGGAGATCCACTATCTCCTTATCTCTTTGTTTTAGCCATGAAATATTTCACCAGACTGCTTAAACAACTGAGGAAGTCCCCAAATTTCAAGTACCATCCAAGATGTGCTAAAATGCACCTGGTCCAATTAAGCTTTGCTGATGACCTACTCTTGTTTAGTAAAGGTGAACTCACATCTGTTAGACAAGTTTATGAGCTTTTCAAAGTTTTCTCATCAGCTTCTGGGCTGGAAGCTAATATAGATACAAGCTCCATTTATTTTGGAGGAGTATCACTTGAAATGCAACAAGCTATACTATAGGAACTAGGCTTCTCACAGGGCACAATGCCTTTTAAATACTTGGGAGTCCCCTTAAGTACTAAGAGAGTAACTATTGTGCAATGCCAACTATTGATTGACAAGATTATGGGAAGGATACAGAACTGGACCTCTTGGTTCCTTTCCTATGCAGGAAGGGTCCAACTTATCAGAGTGTGTTATTCTCTGTTCACACGTGTTCTGGTCGCAGGTGTTTATCTTACCAAAGAAAGTGATCACATGCATTGAAGGGTTATGTAGAAGTTTCATATGGACTGGAGGTGCAGATATATCAAAGGAAGCCTTGATTGCTTGGGACCAGCTATGTAAACCAAGGACTACAGGAGGCCTAAGTATCTTAAGTATTCAGTAGTGGAACAAGGCAGCCATCTGCAAACTCCTGTGGAACCTGAGCAAAAAGAAGGACAAGCTATGGGTACAATGGGTGCATATGTATTATGGGAAACAAGGAACAGTGTGGAATATCCAAGCAAACCAAGCCTCATGGATGGTGAGGAAAATACTACAAGCACATTAATACTTGGAGGCTGTGAGATGGAATGAAGCACAAGTAATACAAACAGTGAAGTTCTCAATTAAGCAAGTGTATCAACTGCTGAGAGGGGAATATTCAAAAGTAGAGTGGAGGAAACTGGTGTGCAATACTATTGCTTGCCCAAAATGGAGTTTTATCTTATTTTTAACTCTACATGGGAGACTCCTGACAAAGGAAAGACTACTTGCTTGGGGAAGCGTGGATAGCACCAAATGTATACTGTGTGATGCTGGGAATGAGAACATCGAGCATTTATTCTTCAGCTGCCCCTACTCGGGTCACGTCTAGCAGAAGGTTCTACGATGGCAAAATATCCAGAAGCAAGCATCTGGATAGAATGAGGAGAAGAGATGGGAGACTCCTGACAAAGGAAAGACTACTTGCTTGGGGAAGCGTGGATAGCACCAAGTGTATACTGTGTGATGCTGGGAATGAGAACATCGAGCATTTATTCTTCAGCTGCCCCTACTCGGGTCAGGTCTGGCAGAAGGTTCTACGATGGCAAAATATCCAGAAGCAGGCATCTGGATAGAATGAGGAGCAGAGATGGGCACAAGACCATTACAAAGGGAAATTACCAGAAGCTGAAATCTTTCGAATCACACTTGCAGCCAGTGTTTACTACATCTGGCAGGAGAGGAACCATAGGATTTTTCAGAAGAAGAATAGAGCTGTGGCGCTCTAATTAAGAAGATTGTTCAAGAAGTCCATATCAGAGGAGGAATGAAGCCGAAATTGAGCACGAAAATGCAGATGCTAGATTGGTACCCTATCTAATTAACTACTGGGTTATACGTGGTATTGGATAGACTAAGCAATGGTTTGGGGTAGAGTATGATAGAATGCTGGTAGTATACAGTTCTGGGAGATGTCCAGACTGTTCTTTTGATTTGTAACTCTCGCTTGGTAATAAAATCAGTTTATTTACCAAAAGAAAAAAGAAGAAAAATACACTTCAGTGGCAAATTAACATAGTTTGTTCAAGTTACCTGACTAAATCCTCCACCCATACCAACACTACCACCTGTCAGAAGCATGGAGATGAGAGATGTGACAGCACCGCCACCAAAGTCACCCCCTGAACTTCCACCAGCTTGTCGAATAGCATTTCGCATTGCCGTCAATATACTTCCATATGTGGCACCATGACCACGCTCAATAGCTTGAATGAAACAGAAAGTCATAGCACCAGTTGAAGTTATTTTTGAAAGAGCCTGCACATCAAAGTCATTAGTTTCCTAATAGCTTCTAAGTTTAATCCAGTATACAGAAAGAGAGATAAACTAATAGTTTCAAGTTAAATTCAGTACACAAAAAGAAGGATAACATTAATCAAACTTACAGATGTATCAGCTGAAGTTTGATCATCATCACAACCACTAAAAGAGAAAACTTCACCACCATTAGTTCCTTTCCAGACACCAGAACGGGGACGATGGTCTTCCCATACATATTGTCCGCTCCTGTTTTCATGAAGTTACAAAAATAAGTATTACCAAAGATAGAGTAGAATTAGAAGTTGAACCTAGCTGGAAAAAAAATTACAGAACATTTTCAAGGTATTAACTTGTGTACTGTATAGCATGTTCTAATTTAATCGTATTTGTAGAATTTGTTGTTTAGTCAAACCATATACATTCTCGAACTGAAGAGTCACTCATGGAACATATCATATCTCAAATGTCAGAGTAACCTATGAGTGAGGCGGCTCTTACTTATCAGCCCTCTATCTTAAATGAAAACAAAACAAAAGATACTTTGTTAATCTTTAAGATTAGGAATCTCTTAGTTGTAAAATAAATACTCATTAAACATATTTAATGAAATTCGACTTCTTGTTTATCCAACTATACCTAAATGCTTCAACCAACAGATAACAATATCTAACAAAGAAAAATATCATAAATTACTAAGGATAAGTGACATACCTGCTCATTCTACAAAGGAATGGAAGGTCTAAAACAGTTCCGCTGTGGCAAGCATCTATTATGGCATGAAGTTTTACTCCTTGAGGAAGAGGCCTGACAATTGTTGCATTGATTTCATCATCAACAATCATACCCTGAGTTTCAAAATCTAGGGGACATAAAGTTTCATCATATCCGTCCACTTCATCTCCATTGTAATTCCTTTGTCTTGAGCCATGACCAGAATAATGAAAGAGTAGTGAATCTCCCGGTTGGCATCCCTGTACAAGCCAATACAATGCCATGCGCATGTTCTGTTTAGTCGGAGTTCTATATGGATCGGTTTCCTCTTCTGCACATGCCAAGAGAGTTGAAATGATGAAACACGTCTCTAAAACAAATTACCCAAAGTTGAAAAAATTCAAACATCCACACTTCTGAGATTATTGTCAATGTAAAAAGGATAAACTATGATAACTAGTTGTTTCAAACAATAGAAGAGTGTAGACATACAATCATAACTATTCATCCTTGCAAATTTGTTAGGTACACTTTGAAAATTGATGGTGGCAATCAAAACTCAAAAGACTGTAGAGGTTGCACAACTAACCAAATAAAAAGAAACTATTAAAACGACTCCAGGCCGCTAACATCCATAATGTTAGACGTGCCATCATCTGATCATGTGGAGTATGCTGTCCTTTTTTCTTCATAACATGGTTAGCTCCACCTGAACCCCCTACACCTAGGAGCCTGAAAGTCATTTTTTTCTCAGTTGCTCCTTTGGTAACTCTAATCCCCTCATTGTTAGAAGTTGAGGCCCTAACCACACTAGCCTATCCCTTGATCCTCTGAAAACTTATTGATGATCACTGCGTAAAAGGGACTATTTTGAAAGGCAATTTCCTTCTTTGACAGGTTTGGACACCACATGTATATCCGGGAACAAAGTTGTGTATTGATTTGCTCAAAAGTGAAAATAAACAACTTCTGCAATCTCAATCAATGTTTTCTCATTAGATTTTCAAAAGGTTATATCAATCAACTATATCTCAATCCTAAACTAGTTGAGTAAGGTAAATGAGATCTCCAAAAGAACAATTCTAAAGCAACAGAATTAAACAAATCATCCTAATTTATGCAATTCATATAATTGTCAAAACAGCTTAAAAAGCACAAAGATTCAATTTTTTTTTACCAGTAAGCATAAGAATAGACGCCTCTGGAAAATGAAACTTGTTGATCAAGAGATATTTCATACATTTAGCATCATTAAGGCATCCTTTCAGTTCATGCCTAGAATACTTATACGATACACCAACAATCACAGCTTTCTTTCTTCCATGAGCATTGGGTGGTGGGCCAGGAGGTGCGTGGTTGTAAGGGGACGGAGGTGCGGCGGCGGCAGAGGAAGACGGTGGTGGGTGCTGGTATTGATTATGTGGTGGTGGAGGAACAGCACGCGGGTCAGCCAACTGTGTTACTGCCTGACAAATCGCACAACGAATGGATCTTGCACCTGGTGGTAGCTGTAATGGGGTATGACAATTGGAACAGTTTACCAGCATCATCATGGTTGATCTATGGCTCAAGAAAATTGGGGTAAGGGTACCAAGAATTTTTTGGAATTGAGGAATATGGAGAATGGGGTTTAGGTTAAAGGGAGAATAATTGGGAGAATCAAGAATATGAAGATGGAGGAATGATATGTTATAATTAGAGTATAAAATTTGTCAGGTATGCAAAAAGGTTTTGCTTTTTATTATTTGGAAGAAGAAGAAAGAATCTAAGGGAAAAAGAAAATGACAATGGCTAAAGCAATTTGGTATTGGTATTGTAAAGCTTATTTCAATTTTATTGTTCGAAGTTTCCATCAATTGTGCAGTGTTTCGTCCGCGTACGCGCTAAATGACGATGTGATAGCTTTATCTTCCGTTTGATTATAGATTATACAATTGAAATTTTGTAAATTTAAGTTTTTGAAGCTGTAATTTTTGTAATTTGAAATTTATGTTTGACATTTAACTTGCTTTTTTTTTGTGACTAAAAGTCTCAATCCCCTTTCCGCCAAACATATATTTAAAAATAAATTTTCAAAAATTTATAACCAAACGTCATGTTAATATATCACGTATTGGGGTGTGCTTTGGTTTGATTTAATGTATTATCGATTTAATTTATCGATTTTTGATTTTTAAATATGATAAATAAATAACCAAACCAATAAGATATTTTTTATTGATTTTTGATTTATCGATTTTGGTTCTTAATGGTTCGATTTTTGGTTTAACGAATAAGAAAATGCTTATAAAATAAATACATGACTTCTCCAACAATTTAACGCGACAAGACACTAATGTAATTTTTAAAATGTTCATAGAATAAAAACAATAATAACTAACATAAAAAGAACTATACAAGTTACACAATGAGAATATGAAATGAATAGAGTTCTTACTTTAGATATTGATGTTTTGTATAATATGAAGTTGTGAACTTAAAGTTAATATGTAGTGTAAATTGAAGGCTAGAGGCCAAAGGCAATAACTACTAAGGTACTGAGATTAATATTTAATATTTATGTATGAATAAAGTTAAAATTACTATGCTCTTAATGAGTTATCGCCTATTAGTTTACCCAATATTAAAAAACCAAAACCAAATCAATAACTCGATAATATTTTTTTATAAAATCATTAAAAAACTGTTAGCCCAATAACCCAATAACAATAAACTAATTACACTTTTTTTATTTGATTTATCGATTAGTTTGATTTTTGCACACCCCTATCACATACTCATGTTACATGTTTACATTTATTTTTAATTTAACACAAATCTAAAAATTAAAATAAGCTTTAAAAAAACAAAATATGACAATAATTTAATATTTTCTTAATCTTGATGACTAAATCAAATTAAACTCGATTTCATACGATTTTAATTCACTTTATTGAAAACTAAGTTATGAATTTGAATTATGTCACATCTCATTACAAAATTTTAATTCCCAAATGCTATTATATGTGTATTAGACTAGAAAAAAGGACTAAATGGGCCTGTATCCCTTACTGGATTTTAGGGCAAAACCCATGTTAGGATCCACCTAGAATCGGGCCACCCATATAAAAGCACCAACAAAAAGGACTAATTCTTTGCAATCTAGGGTTTTATTGCAGCAGCCGCGGCGTCTTTCTCTTCCAGCAGGTGTCAAGGTTCTTCCGTAGCTCGCCAAAATGGTAATCTCTACTCTTAAATTCAAACAACCATTACTGTTTAATACCTTCAGTAATTAGCAATTTGAACAATATACTGTTATGCGGATTTACGCATCTTGTATTGTTTTGATGGATTTTTTTTTCTGGTTCAAGTGTTGGATTAATCCTCAATTAGGTGAACTGTTTATTTAGTTTTTGTTGGTTCTTTCAAGTTGAAAAAGTGGCGTTCTTGGGATATGGTTGATTGTTGTCGTGTGTATAGACCAGTAAAAGTCAAGTGCTCGGGGTAGCAAAGGTGGAGTCTTTAAGCTGATGATTATATGGGCCTCTTCTTCTGTTCTGTTTGGTGTTCTTCTGATTTTCTATTCTATTGTACTACGCTCTTTTCTCATTGTATGCATATAGCTTGGGTTAGAAACAGTTTATGGGGAATATTACTCTTGTCATTTTGCCGACATTGCTAGCTATATGAATTATTAATATTAAATATTTTCAACTTAAATCTATATATGATTGCCACATATGTATAGGCAGAAATATCTTGTGTCCTTTGCGGTAGAGCCTCTTCTTTCCTTAATCTTACTTTGTGGTTGCCTGAATGGAATAAAGTCTATGGTTGTCCAATTGCAATGCATGTCTTTTGATTTAACTGATTATTCAATGATTTGATCTCTTATAATTTCTTGTTCGACTGCTAAGATATTTCTCATTTTCTTCGTTCTATCCTATTTCTGTTCTCATTTTAGCTTGACATGCTTGTTAAATGCAACTCTTTTATTTATGCAGACCAAGAGAACCAAGAAGGCTGGTATTGTCGGGAAATACGGTGTGTACCTTAAATGCTTAAGATGCTGTTGTGTTACTTCTGTATTTTAATGGTGAACAATAAGTTGCTTATTCTAGAAGATTGCATGTGAAGAAAAACAATAAGATTTGGATTTGCAGCTTATAGTTTATCACAATGATTTTCTAATAAACAAGACCGTTGTTATCTGCAATAACAATAATTATACCAGTCATTTATGTGGATTCTGTCTCCATTACTTTATTTTTGGTCATGATTTCATTTATACCTGCATTTGGTGGCTACGATCTACTGGTGGTATCCTTTAAGAAGCTTCATTTTCTTTTTTTAATGAAGTCCTTGAGTAACCTCCTCTTTCTCCCAACATATAGGTACCCGTTATGGTGCCAGTTTGAGGAAGCAGATCAAGAAGATGGAGGTCAGTCAGCACAGCAAGTACTTCTGTGAGTTCTGCGGAAAGGTACAATTCTCCTGTGTTTTTTGTATGATAATTTTTTATAGAGCATGGATTCATTATTACATTGATAATAATGTCATTATGTTCTTACCTTGTAGTATGCCGTCAAGAGGAAAGCTGTTGGTATTTGGGGTTGCAAGGACTGTGGCAAAGTGAAAGCTGGTGGTGCTTACACATTGAAGTAATTATCATCTGAGCTCTTGTTGTTCTCTTTCTTGTTCTTTTCTTGAAGTACTAATTCTTTTTTCCTCTTTTTTCCAGCACTGCTAGCGCTGTTACCGTAAGGAGCACTATCCGAAGGCTTAGGGAGCAGACAGAGAGCTAGTCATTTAGCTGCTAGCTAATTTAAAGTTGAAATTGATATAGTTTCACTGTTTGATATCTTGGTTTTGCATTGAAAGAGTTGTATTGTCTACTGTTTTTGAAAATTTTGATTTAGCCTAAGCATTGGAACAATATTCCGTGTGTGACTTATCCCAGATCTTATTTTCTCTATCTTATCAAGTTGAAGTTTAATGGATTTCATGTTTCCTTGCTGTGCAAGTGTTTTTGTGTGGTCTATTGTTTTCTGATTTGCTCTTTCGTCATATTGGAACTTGGATCCCTGTTCGTTTAGGAGAGCCAAATCCCTCTATCTTAATCGAGTTGTAGTTGAAATGACTTCATTGGCTTGACTTAAACATCTTTGCGTGGTGGTTATTGTACCGAATCATAGAAAGTAATATAGCTACATGGATTATACAATATAGCTTACTTATGCGTGAGCTATACACTAACTATACATTACGAAACACTCAAAAAGTTGATTATAACTTAATTATACACGAAGTATACACCAAATAGACATATACACTAACTATTCAATCTCAAACAATTAAAAATTTAGAAATGAAATTCTCTCAATCTTTTGAGTCTTTTAATATATAATTCGCTTGAAATGATTATTGTTTGCAGTACATCAAATTATAAAGAAGAAAATTAAGAAAAAAGATGAAGCAGTAAAAAGGAGGAGGAGGAAGGGGGAAAAAAAGAAGAAGACGAAGAAGAGAGAAGTTGCTGGAGAAGAAAAAGAAAACGAAGAAGACACGACAATCATTTTCTTTTACTTTTGTTTGAAAAAATTAGGGCCAAATAGCCATTTTATATTGGACTAAAAAGATGGTATGGACTGACATTTTGCATATTTTGCCCTTTTAACTTTTACCATATAGTTAGAATTTTGGGCTAATAAGAGTGTTTTGTACTTGAATCAAAACAAGTAAAGACAATCTTATTTATATTGATGATGATGTAACCTTCATTTTTTCTAAAACACTAATTTCGAAAAAAGTTTAGTTCTCGGGTCGTAGGTTTCATCGAGAAAAACGCCGCACTTTCAATCTTCTTCACTCTTATTTTTCATCTTCTTCGATTTCACATCTATAAGTTCTGTTGATCGATCAAAACTTTTTTTTATTCTTTTGAATTCTTGATGGAATTTTTTTTAGAATTTATAAATGTCAAAAATTAAATATTACATTACTTGGGAGAAAAGTGAGAAATGTCGATTGATAGATCGGTTGACATCTCAAATAAAGTTGAAAAAAGAATTTTGTTAATTATATTTATAATTTTACCTATACGAAGTAGAGAAGTAACTAAAGATATCTACTTTTTAATCAAAAATTAAAATAAAGATATTTTTGCAACAATTGATTAAGTATGAATGTTTATATACCATAATATCAAATGTGGAAGTTCAAATAGGAAAAAATGGATGAAAAAGAGTGTTTCTTTATGATTAAATATTAAGTAATCTAATTAGACAATTAATTTAATTTAATATAGTGTAAGGTTCCGTTCATTATTTGAAGAATGATTTCTTTGTGATAAAAATCAGGTACTATTATATCATATTAAAATCAAGTACTATTATATCATATTAAAATTAATTTAATAATTTTCAATAAAATCGTATGTATATATATATAAATATATAAGAGAACCTTAAGCCCGCCTACGTGGCGTCACTACAAACCAGAATTCCCTTTTAATTTATTTATTTACAAAACTAGTCTTCCCTTTCATGAAAAGTTGTGAAATTTATGAAAAGTTGTGACTTTTATGAAAAATTGTGACTTTAATGAAGAGTTGCGACTTTTATGAAAAGTTATGACTTTTATGAAAAATTGCAACTTTAATGAAGAGTTGCGACTTTTATGAAGAGTTGCGATTTTTATGAAAGGTTGTGACCTTTCCGAGGGG